AGGCTCGGCGTGGGCAGAGGGGCTGCGGTCTCTGATCGGCTAGGAGGGTGGGGGAACACCAGACAACTTGCAAGCAATCTGGCCAGCTCCCTCCCACCTTGGGATGATTGGAAATAATTGGGGGTACAGGATCCCTCTCTGCTTTTTTCTCCCTCTGCTCTCCTCTGGGGCAACCTCAGGGTGCTTGTGTCCATCTGCCCAAACTAACTTTAACAAAACCACGTCTGGTGGACTGCAGCCAGCAGGGAGACTGGCAGACAGTCCCTTTGGGGGATGAATCAGAACTTTAAAACCCAAGCTGGTTTGCAAAATTCAAATATATATTTGAAACTCCGCAATACCCCAGCCGCATACACCAACACACACAGAGAGAAAGACTGATTTAAATGTTTTGAAAGAGGAAAAGGAATGTGTTTGTCAACCTCAACAATTGTAAGATAGATTTCAACATCCCTCAGCTATGAATCTTAAAATTGCTGAGGTTAAGAAATATTGTCAACAGATCCCATGGAAGATTCTCTTACCAACTTTGCACAAACACAATCAATTTGGGGGTCTCTTTGAGTTATGCAGTGCAATTGGGCTTACAGGTAGTCCTCAACTTAGGACTGTTTTTCACACTTATGACCCTTGCAGCATCCTTGACCCAAATGCGGGCGTTTGGCAGCTGGTTCATATTTATGACCGTTGCAATCTCCCAGGATCATGTGATCTGCTGACAAGCAAAGTCAATGGAGGATGCCGGATTCCACTTAACAACCGTGTTAGTAACCTAACAATTGCAGTGATTCACAGCTATGGCAAGAAAGGTTGTAAAATGGGGCAAAACTCACTTTAACAACTTAGCAATGGAAACTTTGGGCTCCACTGTGCCCAAAAGGCGAGGACTGCCTGTATCCAATTTTGCATCCCATTGAAGAGATTTGGCGGTTTCAACTTCCTCCAAGCAATAAAGTTTTATTTTTCTCATATTTTTGAACTACCCATCTCCCTCAAAGAGGGATCTGGGTGGGGTGCAAAAAAACACTTCTTCCCAGTCTTTTCTGTAATGGAATAACAAAAAAAGGGACGATCAAGAATGAAACTTTGGCAGCTAATGTGCTTCTTCATTTCAACTTGCCATTAGAGTAAGGGGGGAGGTATTGCTTTAAAAGTGTTTAGAAGTGTTTGTGATTCTGCTGAAGACCGTGAGAGCCTGAAAAATTTCCAAGGACACTGCAGTAGGTGTGGAGAAGAAGCAGACGGTTCCCATAACAAAGTGAAATTGTTTACAGGGACTATGTGAGAGGTTTGGCCAGAGAGATTATTGTTTAATTCTTATGAATGGAAGTATGGAAACCAAAGAGGCTGCATATAAAGGAGAGAAGTTTGTGAAAGACAAGAGATTCACACACACTTCCTGGGCAATTCATCACTAAAGAAGGGCAAGGACACCATCCTTCATTCAGGAGATGCTCACCCAGACTCTCTTCTTCTCTGGAAGGAAATTTGGAGGGCAATTTCCCTTTCATCAAATGAGATGACAACCAGGAAGAAAAACAAAAGTCCAGAAAATGCCTTTCTTTGCCACTAATTTTAATTTTTTCTCCCCTTTATCACGTGCAGGGGTGCCAAACAGTGTTGAAAGTGCCAGGGCTAATTCTGAACTAGATTCCCCCCCCCAACAGTGATATATTTTAGGTACAGGAAATTTAAAACACTTTGATTCAGGGGAGTCTTTTATTGCTAAGCTAGTGCATTAAGACTTACAGATGCATGTACTTATAATGATAAATCGCGTGAATGAAAGAGTCAATGGTGTATCTATCTGGAATGTGCCTTGGCACATTCATTATCGTTGTAATTATTGATGTTGGACTTACGTTGCATGGCTATTTATTTTTGCTGGAACCAGGGTCTATATAGCTTTTGGCTATATCAGCATTAAACTTTAACGATAGAAAAGAGTGTCGATGCTTTGGAACTTTGATGTTGGAGAATTCTCCAGAGAACACTATGGTTGTCCAAGAAGAGAAATGGATGGATCACCGAACAAAGCAACTCGCAGCTCTCACTCAAGACACAAATGACCACGCTCACATTATCCTGCTTGGGACACATTATGAAAGGCCCAGCTTTCTGGAAAAAGCTCCACTGCTGGGCAAAGTAGAAGAGGACCACCATCAGCAAGACAGATGGACTCGGTTACAGTACCAACCCGTGCAATGTTGAAAGGCCTGGTCAGGGACTCATCAGCACGGAGAAAATCCACTTATCCGACTGCTAAGAACCAACACACACAAATTACAGGTAGCCCTCAACTTATGACCTCGGTTGAGACCAACATTTCCATTTGTTAAGTGAGTTTTGCCCCATTTTACGACCTTGCCACAGCTGTTAAGTGAATCAATGCAGTGGTTAAGTTAGTCACACGGGACAGTGCAACCGTCATACATGCCAGTTGCATGACATCTGAATTTTGATCATGTGACCACCATGCAATGGTTATTAAGTGTGAAAAATAGTCACGGGTCACTTTTGCGGTGCCTTTGTAACTTCAAACGGTCCCTAGGTGGACTGTTGTAAGTTGAGAACAATCTGTATTAAAGTTTGCAAATTAACTCTGATTTTGGAACTGCAGCTGCGTAGGAGGCCGCTGAAGCAACAGAAAAGCAGAAGAAGGAAGATAAGGTTTGCCAAAGTTGCAATTGATTTACTGAGCAAACGCAGGAAAGCCTATTTCCAAAATGATTCAAAGGCTTTAAAAGGCTCGCAAAAAAGATGTAACACTGGAGCAAACCAACCCAAATAGTTGAAACATCATCTGGAACCTTGTCATGTAAATACTTGCTTTTCCTAATCTTAATGGCCAAGATGACAGAATAACGGAAGGGATCTTGGAGGTCCTTCTTAGATCTTTTTTTTTTTTTTTTAGAAGGCGTGCGTTTTGGACCTCAGAAACCCCTGCAGAGAAGGCCCAGTCCCCATTTGCTCTCTGATCTAACTGCAGCACCTGCAAAGGTCTCCACCCCAGATGGCTTCATGCATGGTGAAGAAGTTTCCATTTTAAAAGAGCCAACATTTTTCCTGTTGACCTTTGAGGATGCAACCTGGGGCAATGGGTGAAGCCTGTCAGTAGACACCAGGTGACGATTGGGACTTGTGTTTTGTGGCTATGCACCAGAGCAGAAATTACGTGGTGTTGCATCTCTGATGATACCTACAGGCCCTTTCATGGAGTTGCAGAGAACTGTGAGATGGGACTCCATAGATCAGTGGTGGCGAATCTATGGCACGGGTGCCAGAGGTGGCACTCAGAGCCCTCTCTGTGAGCACGCACGCCGTTGCCCCAGTCCTAGGCCTTCAGCTGGGTTTTATAAAACCTTTTCGCTTTAGGCCTCCGCCGCCGTGTGCAAAAAAAAAAAAAAAAAAAGTTCAATCAATCAGTCAATTTCAACATCTTGTGGGAAAAAAAAGATCTTGCAAAGTTGGAATTGATTGATTGAACTTTTTAGTCCCACCCAGTCTGCCGTTACCACTGCAGCCACGCCCACCCAATGGGCCACACCCACACCCATCCGGCACCCGACAATGCATAAATAGGTTTTGGGTTGCAGTTTGCGCACTCGGTCTCTGTTCGCCATCACTGCCATAGATGAATTCCATCGATTGTAATTAGTGTATCAAACGGGAGTTACTCTAAGGGTTTAATAGCTTCTCCTGTTTGAGCTGGAGGTTGGACTAGAAGACCTCCAAGGTCCCTTCCAGCTCTGTTATTCTATCTTCCAAATATGTCATCTTCTGATTTTCTGGGTAATTGGGACTATGGAGGAACAGCTAATGCTGATCTTTGGACTTTGCTGCCCTCTGCTGTTGATGAGTCTTCAGTCAACCTACCTATGGCCTGGCAGCTCAACTATGCTAACTCTAGTTTCCAAAATATATATTGTACCTAAATACTGTACACGATTTATGAGTCTAATGTATCAGATCCGCCCCCCCCCATCCCGCTTGTCTCTCATTTTTATCTGTTCCCTGTAAAAGAGCACGACTGTGGCTAACTCAGGTGTATCTCACCCCCTGAATAGTGAGATGCTTCTGGTGATGTTAAAACCCTAGTTAGTATATGCTCTTTTCATGTCTCCTTCTCCCTGTTCCATTTATTCTGGAGTAGAGCAGGCAATACATACAGTTGAGAACTCTTGTGAACTGAAGGATTATATCCACTTTTGTACACAGCACAAAATATTGGTGGGAGAATGGAAAACACTGACTGAATCATCCAATTTGTTAAGTCTAGATAAAATGACTGCTGGACACATTTCAGAACAGGTGTTCAAATAAGGGGCATTAGTTTCACACAACATGACGGAACCCGCTGCATTCTTAAATATATACTTAATCACAAACTTCCCATGTTTTAGCCAAATTTAGAACACTGAGCAAATTCAGCTTTGTAACCCTCCAAATGTATTGGCCTAAAAAACCAATGTCTTCCAACCTTGGCAAATTTATTCTCCAAAGCGCCTGAAGACAGGACAAGAAGCAACGGATGGAAACTTATCAAGGAGAGAAACAACCTGGAACTAAGGAGAAACTTCCTGACAGTTAGAACAATTAACCAGTGGAACAACCTGCCTCCAGAAGCAGTAAATGCTCCAACGTTGGAAGTTTTTAAGAAGAGACTGGACAGCCATTTGTCTGAAATGGTATAGGGTTTCCTGCCTGAGCAGGGGGTTGGACTAGATGACTTCCAAGATCCTTTCCAACTCTGTTGTTGTTGTTGTTAGGGGACTTCAACTCCCAGAATTCTGTCTGGCTGGGGAATTCTGGGAGTTCAAGTCCACATAGCCTAAAGTCATCCAGGTTGAGAAATATTCTTGGCCGTGCTGATCAAAGCTGATGGAAATTGTAATTTACACATCTACCAAATCCCAGAGTGGAGACAAATGACGTAAACACCCCGTTTTCACTCTTTCAAGGTCGGCATCCCCCAAAAACGCGTGGAGCAAGGCAAGCAATTAAAAAAAACCCAACTTTTTAATTATTATTTGGTCCTTTGGAACCTGAGCTTGAAAACCACTCATGGGATAATTCATATTATACAGGGACTGATTACAGATTCGATTTACAATTTGATAAAATATCCTATGTTTTCCTTAAGAGGTGGACAATATTTACATGATTAAAAATTATTCACAGCTCAGCGAGAGTGAACCAAAAAGACGCACACGTACAGACACACAAAAGAAAGATTTAGAAAGCAGAAATGGCTGACGTAATTTTTGGACGGAATCGAAAACAAATAAGGAGGGCGAGCCGGGCCCATTTCATTGACCTGTGACAATGAAAAGCAGGCAGGATGGAAGTCGACTTGGGAGTCAACGCGAAGAGGGCGAAAGAGTGGAAGAAACCAACAGAGAGAGGAAGTTAACCTTCCTTTCCACCGCTCCCTGAATATGGGTGAGGAATAAATGTTATAGGTAGGAAGTATGATAAAAGCTTGGCATTGCTGCTTCATTCCCCAAGTCCTGGCAATGCCATATTAGCCCTCGGTTCAGCCATACCCTGTCCTTTTGGAGGTTTCCATGCTATGTCCTACTCTTCAAAGCCCTTCTTCCTCCCTCCCTCCCTCCGTCCTCCTGAGAGTTATGGCGTATTTGCAAAGAAATCAGCTTTGACATCAGTGTTAATTGCTAAACATCCCTACCCACCCCACCCTGAACAAGGTTCTCCGGGAAGAAGCATGGCTATTAAAATAGGTGGAGGCTGCCTTGAGCTCTCCACGGGGAGAGAAGAGTTATTAGTTCCAGGTCAAGTCCTTCGTGCAGCCAGGAAATTTCACTTCCACCAACTCTTGACGTCCGAAGGCGTTATCGACACTGGAAGGGTCGGGTTGCTGGCAGTGACCTTTGGATGGACAGGTGAGCGAAACCAGTTGGTCAGATTTCCTAGAAAGGTGTTCTAGCGGTCACCTCCCATTAAAGGCCGTTAAATTGCATTTCTCCAAAGCCAGTGCAAGAACACTAAAATGCTGAGCTTTCTGCAGCCACTTTGCTCCGACAGAACATCCAGATCTTTGTCAATTTGCTCTCTTCATCAGTTTGCTTTGGGGGAGGAACAGAGAATAATTCTACAGGATGCAGGATTCTCCGATCAACTGGGATCTATCCACTCGGACACCGAAGAATGGAATTTAATGGTGCAGGAGAACCATCTGCAACCCCCAATTTCCAGCTGCTGCCTTTACACAACTTTCTTTAGGGATAGCTAGATCCTTTCGCCTTTTCCCTGTGGCCCGAATTAACGCTCTCTCCTATGGCTCTGTCCCATTTGTGATCAGCCCGCAGAGCTAAAGCTTGCATGGTCTGGAGCATCCTCTGCAGATTCCAACAGTCCAGGATGACCCTGATTGTTGTCGTTCCACCATGTGGTAGAGAAAAAGACTCTGGAGAAGATTCAGCCACCGCCTGTGTCTCCAGTTGACTTGTTAAACCAACTAGGGCCAAACGTTGACCATTTCACTTCCTTTTGGCTTTGCTAAATGTCAATTAATCTCTGGAGAAAGACCTCAAGCAAACTGGCTAAATCCTCCCTTACTCCCAGGCCCACTGTGAAGCCCCACTTTCAAATTTCAAGCAAAGGGCACCAGTCCACCCCTTCTCCCGGCCCCACCCTTGCTATCCTCCAGCATCTTCTGCCTAGACAGAGAGGAAAGGAGCTTATCTCCTATCTGCAGTAGGAGATAAACCTTCTCTAGATGCCTTCATCAGGACAGGGGCAGGAATCCGTGAATTAAGACAGGGGACCACAAACTCCAGGTTCCCTAAACCTTTACAGAACCAAAAGGGGAACATCTGCTACTGATGACGCCCCAACGTTCTTGAGTCCTCGCTTCCTCCAATCCTCTCTCAAGATCAAGAGGGTTGGCAAGAAGAACACTATCCCTGCTTCCTTGGGTTTGAACCCATCCTGTTTCACTAGATACCCTGTTCCCGACTCTGAACTCCACAGATGCTCAGCTACTCCCCTTCAACCTCCTTCTGGACATTTTCCAACAGTCTGGCTGATCCCTTTGAAGCCCAGCAGCTGACCTTCACGGGAAGACGGAAGAACCTCTAGCGGTGGCTTCTCAAGGCCTTTATGGGAGGCTGAGTGTCCAACTGCAGAAGATAAAAGTGCTAAACTTACTTAAGGTCTTCAGGTGTGTCCACCTGTCACCTTCCAGGTAGAGCTAAACCTGGAGCATGGAAGGCCGAGGGATAAACAGTCCCTAATCTGTTTTCCTCTCCTCCCATGGCTGATTTCTGGCTTATCTTTCTTGGGGTGATGGGGAAGGGGCCAACCACAGACATTGGGGGGTGCTCCCTTCTCTCTTTTAACAGCTAGGGAGCTTGCACAAGGAAATGGACGCCCCGCTCTTCCCGCGTGCTCACTTCCTTTGTGACACCCCCTAGCTGCAACAAAAGGACATTGCAACCCAACAAACGCACACCGGCTTCACCTCCCGAAAGGACACCGACAAGGACACCACAACACAAAGACAAATGAAAGACCTTCTGCTCTTCCCAAGCGGATAAAGCATTAGCTGGCCGGCCACCAAAATGGAGGTGTGGGCCTCCATTCCTCGCCCAGCCCGCCCGGGTGGGAATGAGGGCCACAAGGAGGGAACAAGGGGCAGATACCAAAGCAAAGACACCTCCCTGCTCCCAGCTCAGTGTCTTCACTATGGTTCCATTGTGTTGCAGCAGCAAGTCCCTCCAGGAAAAGGCTGAAGAAATAGCACACCCCTGGCCCACCACAGCCTCCCTATCCCACAGATGCTGAGAGCACCTGCTCAATTGGGAGGCAGCCGGTACATTATGCGCAGCCTGCTTTTAGGGCTAGTGTGAAATGCCACTCAGCCTAGGTGAGCAATGGACTGCAGGCAGGTCTCCCCAGGGGGATGTGCAGACTCCATCTCTCTGTAAATCAGGGGCGTCCAACCTGAACAACTTTAAAACTTGTGGACTTCAACTCCCAGAATTCCACAGCCAGCACAGCTGGCTGGGGAATTCTGGGAGTTGAATTCCACAGGTCTTAAAGTTGCCCAAGTTGGACACCTCTGCTATAAATCTCCTGCGACTGGACAATCGTTGCTAGAAGGGAGAAGAAGCCCACCTTGCAACTCAGCCCGTCCCCGTCAGCGGAGCAGGGCACCCCAACTCCGCTCCTCAACCCATCCCAGCAGCGGCTGACGCCCTGAACCCGCGAGGGAAGGCAGACAGACAGACAGACACATTCGCCAGAGGTATATTGTTGCAGCCGTAGGATATCTTGGCAGCTGAGGGAAGGAAGGACCACGGTCCCCGGGGGCCAAGCAGCTGGCCAGCGCTCAGGCTGTTCGGTATGCTGGAACCTGCATCCTTCTCCCAGCTCTAAAAAAAAATTTTTTTTTTTCCTTGCTCTCCTATCCTGACCGCAGCTTTGGATAAAGTGCATCTTCTGTGGGAAAGGGGGAAAAAAGGGGAGATGGATTTTTCAAGAGAGGGAGAGGGAAGGAGGGGGGGGGAACCTGAGCAGCTCCCGGCTTAACCCCAGAGAACGGGAGAAGAGTCGCTTAGTTTGAAACCCGCGAAATCGTCAGTCCTCCTTCATCCTGACGGGCTCTGCACGGACGGCTGGGGCAATGCGCGAGACAGGCGGGGCTAGTAAAAGGCAGAAGCAGAAGAAGAGAAGGGGTTGGGGGGGGGGGCCTTTGTCATAGTGGCCGGGGCCCGTGCAGTCCCGCCACCTCGGGGGTGAGCAGGGGGTTGTGCGTCCCCTTGGTTGACATCCAGTCGTTCAGGAATGCCTGGGTAGCCTTGCGGTGGGCCAAGCGGTGCGTGATGGAGAAGCCGGCATTTCCTTCCAGTTGGGATAAAATCACCAGGACCTGCCTGAAGGAGGAGAACCAAAACAGAGAAAAGGGGAGGGGGGGGGAAGGGTGGGAGAGGGAGGTGAGAGAGCTTCTCAAGTCTGCAGAAGAAGTTAAGACATCCAGACCATCCGATCACTAAAATCCTTGCCCAAAAAAAACAACAACAGCCTTTCAGCCAATGTCTTGCAGAACTGCTAAACCAGGGGTGTCAAACTCAATTTCAGCATTACAGTTTCCCTCGGCGGGGGGGGGGGGGCTGGGTGGATGTGGGCAGAGTGGGTGTGGCCTGCTGGATGGGCGTGAATGGAGTGGGGTGGGTGTGGTTTTCGCAGGCAGCGGGCCGCTCTCCTCACAGTGCCGAGAAGTTGAGCCAGGCGGCGTGAAGCTCGCCAGCTTTGCACCTCGCTGCCTGCTGAAACTGGGCAGCCTGGGGGCTAGGCAGCATTGCACTTCTCATCAGATTCGCGCCACCCGGCTCAGCTCTTGGCGCTGTGAGGAGAGCGCCCCGCTGCCTGCCGAAACCTCTCCCCTACAGCCCATCAAGCCGGATATGTGAAGTAGGCGAGGGCCATTTGCTGGCCACTTCCAGGCGATGGTGCATTTCTTCATTCCTCACAAAGGGGGACACCTCCCCAGCGCGCACCAGGGGATGGGGCCAACACGGCAGGGGCTGGTTCCTTGCTGTTTCCAGACGGCCTTGTGGAGCTAAGACTGAATATGTTTCAGCATAGATGGCCACCACAAAATTGTACATTGGCTCCCGGCCGGCCTGGGCCAGGGCCAAGGCAGAGGGGGCCGTTCCCTCACTGTTTCCAGAATTGCTTCGCGGGCCACATGAAACCACTTTGCGGGCCGCATCCGGCCCCCGGGCCTTGTGTTTGACATGTCTGTGCTAAACGGTGCAAAAGAGGGCATGTTTTCATCTGAAACGAGATGAGGTTTTTGACATTCACGGGGATTAGGCTCACTATAAACCATCAGAGCGAGCCGGTTTGGCACACTGTGTAGTGGTTGGGGGCATCAGACCAGGACGACTGTGAGTTCTAGTCCTGCCTTAGGCACAAAGTCATCTGGGGGACTTTGGGCCAGCCTCTCCCTCTCAACCCTAGGAAATAGGCAATGTCAGAACACTTCTGAAAAACTTTGCCAAGGAAACTTCAGGGACTAGTCCCGTCACTGAAACCTGATTTGAAGGCTGACACACATAAACAAGGGATAAAAAAAAGTAATAATAATAATCAAAGGTTGATCAGGGTTCTTGCTTCTCCTTAGTTCCGTGGCTTCAGCATTCGAACGCACATCGGACCAGCCATATCTGCATTTCTATTCTGCATTTTGGGGGGCTCACCTGTGCAAGGGTGGCACGCTGTCCTGCGTTTTCAAGCTGCCCCGAGTGGACACAACATTGAAGCTATCCGTGCAGTCACACTGGACGTGGAGATAGGACTTGGGGTGCCGGTTCTCCACCACGACAATGAGACCGGCCCAGCCGTGCGTCAGGTAGTAACAGGTCATCCCTTCGCGTCCCTGTTCCATAAAGAAATGTAATCAGATTTTTCTTTGAATGAGTCATATGTCCACAGGCTGAAGGCTGGGGAAAATTTCACTCATCCCATTAAGTCAGGGGTGTCCGACCATGGCAACTCTTAAGACTTGTGGATTTCAACTCCGAGAATTCCCCAGCCAGCACAGCTGGCTGAGGAATTCTGGAAGTTGAAGTTCACAGATCTTAAAGTTGCCAAGACTGGATACCCCTGGTCTAAACTAAGAGGCTGGCTGAGGAATTCTGGGAGTTGAAGTTCCCAGGTCTTCAAGTTGCCAGGGTTGGACACCCACACACTAAGCTATGGTTAAGTGGACAGATTGGTCAAAAGGGTACTCAGTGATCCCAGACTCCTCAGAGAACTGAGAACTAAGAATCCTTTTTACTTCTTTCCTCTCTTTTTAAAAAGTCAACAGTAAGAACCACCAAACCAAAATCCAAAATTCAAGAGGATAACGGTCACCAACACCTACCTCATGCCGCTCGCCCTTGTTCTCCGTGAGGAGAATGATGGCGTCGGCCAACGTGGTCGATTGGGCCTCAATCTGTTCTACCATCACAAGGCGGGAACCGTAGATGGCCAGGATGTAGTTGGAGACTTCAGTGGCAGGGCACTCACTGGTAGATGTAGGGCTGGAGCCTGACAGAGATGGAAAGATACAGAGATAGGGCTGGATTCAGTTGTGGGAGACCTTCCTGCCATCCAGTGATCTCCTCGCATGGCATCCCTCAGCTAGCTTAAGAATAGGGTCAGACGTCCAATGTCTATGGAGAGCCAGACCTGCACAGAAGGATGTAGGACCCAAATGTCCTCTCTGTCTGAAGAATCAAGAGCTTTCCCCAGCAATTCACTTTTTCCAGGAAAACGTAAAACAGTGAAATATTCAACGGACTATTTGGTGGAAATTCCTTTTCACCAGAGAGGGGGGGGAGGGGAGAGAGAGAGACAGAGAGAGAGACAGAGAGAGACAGATAGATAGACAGACAGATAATATAGATGATATATATATGTAAAGCTTGAGTGTGTGTAGATAGGTATGATATAGATAGATATTAGAGATAATAGATGATACAGATAGAGCTTGTGTGTGTGTGTAGATAGGTACAATATAGACAGATATTACATTATATTCAACAGACTATTTGGTGGAAATTCCTTTTCACCAGAGAGAGAGAGAGAGAGAGAGAGAGAGACAGAGACAGAGACAGATAGACAGACAGATAATATAGATGATATATATGTAAAGCTTGAGTGTGTGTAGATAGGTATGATATAGATAGATATTAGAGATAATAGATGATATAGATAGAGCTTGAGTGTGTGTGTAGATAGGTACAATATAGACAGATATTACTTTATATTCAACAGACTATTTGGTAGAAATTCCTTTTCACCAAAGAGAGCAAATGTCGAGGGAGAATTAAGGAGAGAAGGAAATAACTAAGATATATTTGTCAAATTTTTGCCTTGCTTTGCCTCCAGGGGCAAAACTCTTGCTATGACAAGGAAGAACCCCACTGAGAAAATCTCATTCGCTTAGCTCTGCACTGAGGATGTTACTTAGTTTGGTAATAAAATGTCTGCAAGAAACTCAGAGAGCACCAAGGATGGCTCCTCCTCCTCCTCCCTGCAAACCCCACTCCCTCCTAGCACTGATGGTGTTACCTAGGTTGGTAATGAAACGTCTGCAAGAAAACCACCAAACTCAGAGAGCACCAAGGACCCCACAGCCGATCCCTGAGCTACAAATATTCTCTTCTATCGAAGATCTCATTAAAGCAATGGTTCTCAGCCTGTGGGTCAGGACCCCAATTGGGGTCGAACGACCATTTCACGGGGGTCGCCAAACAATGCAGTCCGCCATTTCCCCCCCCCCTTTCCTTAGCTGGGCTACTCCCTTTTATTCTATTGGCTTTTGAAAGCCAATAGAATAGACTCTCTTGAATAGAGTCTAATTCTACTGGTTTTCAAAAGCCCATAGGAATTGTCCAGGCTGTCTCTGCCCTGCTGAGCCCACCAAAAGTCCCATTCTGCAAACGGTGCTGCACCAGTTGAGTAGTTCTCGACTTACGACCGGTTGAGTAGTCCACAACTTACGACCGGTTGGGGGGGTCGCGGCATTAAAAAGGTTGAGAACCGCTGCATTAAAGGGAGACCCTGTGAATATCTGTGGCCGTTTGAATCCCTGAGCCTTGGACTCCCCAGCTGCAATTCAACAACCAACACTTCACAGTGACTTCTGGACAGAGCCCTCCATTCCCGATTCAAGAGGGCTTTTCTTCAAACGCTAGCATCATCCTACTTCCTCTCCGTCCCACCCTCCAAGCAAGCCCTCCCCTGCTGTCACCTGGGCCTGAGGTCCCTGGCCCTGAGGCTGTCCAGTGGTTGAAGGCACAGCACACCACGGCATACTCCCCCGGCTCCAGCATGATGTCACAGTTGACAAACTTCTTGACCGCTCGCTTGCTGTGGGCCATCAGGCGTCCCAGGCTCAGCTTGCTCCCGTTGATGAAGGTGGCCCGGAACACCATGATGCAAAGGTCGAGGAGGTGGCTGTCCACCATGTCCGAGCGTCTGAGAAAGGACAAGAGGGAAGAAGGGGACACAGCTCAGAGGCAGGGCCCGTTTAGATCAGGGTCCACAACCTTGGCAATTCTAAGGCGGGCGGACTTCAACTCCCAGAGCTCCCAGCAATGGCTGAATGCGGAAGAACCCAATCAGGAAGTGCTGCAGCCTCAGTTCTTCACCTGGTTGGCTGGATCTGCCACCTCACCTGCTGCCTTCCTGGAACAGAGCAAACTCCAGAGTTGCTCGCTCCAGCACCGTCAGTGAGGTGACCGTTATGGGCCCGCTGGCCTTGTTGGGGAAAGCCGCCTGCACACGCACTTCGTGCCAGTCCGAATGAAGCTTGCAGATGTCCACGGAGTCAAAATACCTGGCAAAAGAAGCCAGCATCTATCTTAGTCCCTCTCTCTCGGCCCAGCCCGCCTCACAGGGGGGGCTGTGGTGGGGAAAATAGGAGGAGGAAGGTGTGTTGGATATGCTCACAGCCTTGTGTTATTTGCATAAACAATACAGGCAGAAGATGATAGATAGATAGATAGATAGATAGATAGATAGATAGATAGATAGATAGACAGATAGATAGATAGATAGACAGATAATATATATATAAAGCATGAGTGTGTGTAGATAGGTATGATATAGATAGATATTAGAGATAATAGATATAGATAGAGCTTGAGTGTGTGTGTGTAGATATACGATATAGATAGATATTACATGAGAGATAGATGATAGATAGATAGATAGATAGATAGATAGGGAGAGAGAGAGAGAGATGAAATAGATGAGATATGAGATGAGATGAGACAGACAGACAGACAGATCTTAAGTGTGTGTGTGTGTGTGTGTGTGTGTGTAGATAGGCAGACTGACAGACAGACCTAAGAGGCATTTCTACCTTGTGATCTTGAGATCCAGAACCCCAGAATCCCAAAGCCGAGCCCGAGCACCCCAAGAGCTCCGGGACGCAGCTGGCTCCCGCTGGGAAATACCTGATGAAGTCGCTGTACTCCATCCAGAAGACGCCCTCGCTGCTCCCGTGGGGCATCAGCTCGTGACGCAAATGGGAGGGCCAGTGGGACCACTCATCGGACCAGCTGCCATTCCAAGAGAAGCGGCCCCAGGGATTACGAAGTCGCAGCAGTCTGACAGGGATTTAGGGAGGGGGGGAAAGAGAAAAACGGGTTACTTAGCTCTTACTCTGAGCTAAGAGTAAGGCATAAGCTTTACTCTTCTCCCTGTGGGAGAAGAGCAGGCAGACCTGAGAAGGCGGAGTTAAATGTGTCATCTGCCTAGAATCGTCATGTTGCCACAAACGGTCCGGGTCCAACCCTTGTTGAATTCCGTTGACCCTTATCTGGCACCAATGTAGTACTGATCCTCAGTTGACTAGATTAATGGTAGGCGCAAAGGATCAGGACCATCCGTTCAGTTGCAGTTCAGATTCACAAGAATCTAGTCTAGATATGTAAATACAACGTTGACGACTGAAAGATGGTTTACCCAAAAATTTACAGATGTTATATGTACAGTTTGTTATGCTCTGTCCTGTTATAGAATGTATTTTAAGTTTCTGTTTTTCTTTCTGTAACATAAAGTAATACTAATAGCAGTGTTGTTGTAGCCAGGGAAGTTGAATCAGGTCCACTTCTGTTTTTAAATGTACATTTAATAAAATTTGAATTAAAAAAAAAAAGAATCTAGTCAACTAAAGTTCAGTACTAAGTTGGCACTAGATAAAAAGGTCAATGGTATTCAAGGAGTTGGATCTTTCTGGCAACATAATGATTCTAGGCTGATGACGCACTTAACTCCCTCACCCACCCCTAGCTCTGCCTACTCATCTCTTACATTTACAGAGTTATGAAGATTGGCACTGCTCTGCCTTCACAAAAGATTAAAGAGTTTACAATGGATTGAATGAATAGGCACCAGCCTGCCGAATATTAGAGCCATTTTATCTGCTGCCTTAGGAGGCAATAAGTTGAATGCCGAGCATGTTTGCTGAGAAATAAGTCCTGCTGTGCTTAAACAGGAAAGTGTGTCAAGGGTTACAGCTTACACCGCTGAAAGCCAGGAGAATGTAAGGGTTTTTGTTTTTTAAAAAGGGCTACGACCTGATTTAAGAAACCTTACATTATTGCATTGCTTTCATTTGATTATCTCGTGGTTTGAATATATTTGGCAGGTGCTCAAAGCAATATTCTTGAATCAAAGACATTTATTTCTTTATTTTAGAAAGATGTTTCCCATTGGCAAATTTCTTGCCAATGCTTGTTTTGAACCACTGATATTTGGATTCACACACAATGTTTAGCCAAGATCTCTTTACCCAGATTAAAGGTAATTAATTGGCAAGAAATTATAGTTTGTTCGATAAACCATGGCTCAGTTTTAAATTAGAATATGATAGCAAATCGACATTTTAAAATCAAGAGGGGCAACCTGTGGTCGGTTTGTCTATCTAATCTCTAATATTTATATCTATCATATCTATCTACACACTCAAGCTCTATTTATATTTACCATCTATTATCTCTAACATCTATATCTATCATCTATTATTTCTAATCTATCTATCTACACATACTCAAGCTTTATATCTATCGATCATCTCTAATATCTATATATATCATCTATAATTTCTACTCTATCTATCCATCCATCTATCCATCCGTCTATCCATCCGTCCATCCGTCTCTCTCTCTCTCTCTCTCTCTCTCTCTCTCTCTCTCTCTCTCTCTCTCTCTCTCTCTATCTATCTATCTATCTATCTATGATCCTCCTACAGGTCTTTTTTTAGCCTGTTTCTGACCATGATTGCTGAATACTGGTTAGCTTGTTTCTTACCAGTTTTGAGGCTAAAGACATTCAAAAGTTTTACAAAGCGGAAGAAACAAGAAAATCCAGCAATATTAATCAATCTTGAATAACTGGAAATGATTCGATCTATATACCCCTCATTTTAAGGCAAGCAAACTGTCCATGAGCAAAGAGGCCAAAATCATCATCAGCATAGCCATGTTTACCTGCATCCCTGCACATCTCGTACGTCCAATATGGAGTAGGCATGCCGCGGGCGAAGACCCATGCTTTCATAGGCCGCATCATCCACCTTCATGTTGCCTCCTCCACACGATGCTCCCATGAGGAAGCTGAAGAGTAACAGAAATGGGAATAAAATGTGGGGATGGTATGAGAGAAGAAACAAGAGACAAAGGAGAAAGATCTAGGCCAGTGTTTTCCAACCTTGGCAATCTCCAGATGGGAGAACTTCAAATCCCACCATTCCAGAGCTATGGTGGCTCCTGCTAAGAATTCTGAGAGTTGAAGTCCACCTGGAAAGTGCCAGGACTAAGTGTTTAGAGAGCTTTTAGTTTTATTTGAAAGTTAGGTATCCCAAAAGTGCTTTTTTAAAAAGGCAACTAGACTTTGTGTTTTTTTTTCTTGAAGTTGTTTTGCTTCTCATCCAAGAAGCTTCTTCAGTTTCACTTCTCATCCAAGAAGTTTCTTCAGATCTTCAATCAAAACTGAAGAAGTTTCTTGGATAAGAAGCGAAACATCTTCCAGGGGAAAAAAAAAAAACCGAAGTCCAATTGCCTTTTAAAAAAGGCACCGCCGGAACAAGCATGACTTGGACGACCGAGAATCTCCATAGACTTGGAATTTAGGTATTCATCTACATTTTCCAGAATATATTACGTTTGAAGGTTACACAACAAATATTGTGACTGTTTCTTAGGATTAATCCACACCTGTGGAAAGAGGGGTTGGTAAAACCCTACAGTGGACTGCGCCACTTCCAACTGGGATCCAGGAAGAGATGCTATTTTTGGATGATATATTTTTTTGTGAGAGGGATCATGATGATGCTGACACAAGGGTCTAGTGCAGGGGTAGGCAACCTTGGCTCTTTTATGACTCGTGGACTTCAACTCCCAGAATTCCTGAGCCGGCATGGCTCAGCTTGGAAACCCTTTCCCCTCAGCATGGCTGGCTCAGGAACTCTGGGAATTGAAGTGCACGAGTCATAAAAGAGCCAAGGTTGCCTACCCCTGGCTCTAGTGGAAACAAATTTTCTTTTTTGAGTCCATCTTGCACTCCCTGGTCCTGGTGGTGAACTACAGGTAGTCCTTGACTTACGACAGTTCACTTAGTGACCGTTCAAAGTTACAACAGCACTAAACAAAGTGACTTTATGGCCATTTTTCACACTTGGGACAATTTGCAGCATCTCTAATGTTCACGTGATCAAAATTCGGATGCTTGGCAACTGACTTGTTTTCACGACAGTTGCAGTGTCCCGGGGGTCGTGTGACTCCCCCTTTTGTGTCCTTCCCTCACAAGCCAAGTCAAAGGGGATGCCGGATTCACCTCACAGCCGGGTGACGGACTTAACAACTGCAGCGATCCACTTAACGGTGGCAGGAGAGCTCGTGCAAGGGGGTGAAATTCGCTTGAGAACTCTCTCGCTTAACAACAGAGATTTTGGGCTCGATTGCGGGTCGTAAGTCGAGGACCACCTGTGCTTAATCGGAACGCAAGAGGACTGGGCCAAGGGGCCGGATTCTCTCGGGCTGGTCCCATCTTTGTCCTCCTCCAACCTTGAAAGGGGAGCCCTCCCTTCTGCCTTGTCTTACCCAGCCTCCTTAGAACTCAGCATTTTGGCCCAGATGAGGTCAGTGTCAATGGCCTCCTCACGAGGGTTAGTGGAGCTGACCTGCAGCATTAAGCTCTCGCAGGGAGCGCCGGTGAGCGTAGCCAGGCCTTCAATAGCGCGCCCTGCTTGGAGGGCAAAGTATGAACCGTGGAGTTTGGCCAAGGCCTTCTCAATCAGAGCCACCCACAGCTGTTTTCTCTGGGCCTGGGGAAGGAAGACAAGACACCGAGTTGGAGACACAGATTGACAACAGACAGATTTCCCATTCCCGGTCAGGTGCAAGGCATGGAAGCGATGCGTAAATAGCTAAAGCCGTGAACTTTATTGAGGTCTGCCCATGTTACAAGAATCTCCCCAGACTGCTTGCAATGATTCCAAGCTAAGCCCTCACTTGACGCCTCCCTCCAGCCTAGCTGGCAGTTTCCCAACTTTCCTTCGGTCTTAAAATATTTCCATTCAATCTTCCCTTGACTTCTGAGAGTTCATTAGGTGTCAATCTCATTCTTTCAAACTCATATGTGGCCTTCACATATGTACTGGAAACATCTTTTTATAAAGAAGAGCAGAAAAACTCGGAGCGTGGAATTCTGCACCTCAGGGAGGGGCAATTCTGCGGCGTTCTAAGACAACTTTCCAAAGTCTGGTGTCCTTCAAATTCCACTCAACCATGATGATACAGATAGCCCTCAATTTACGACCGTAAATGAGCCCAGAATTACAGTCATAAGCCAAGCGGTCCTGAGTTGAAGCATCACATGACCGGATTCAAAGTTACAATTTCTTTTTTTTTAACGATTGTTAAGTGAACACGGTGGTGGTTTAAGCAAATCCATTTTCTCCAGCGGACATTTTTTTTTTGCCCCAAACTGGAAATAAATGCCAGAAGCTGGCAAAAAACCATCGACATGACCATAAAGGTGAGCTGGTTGCTAAACACCCGACATGAAGAGGTTGGACTAGAAGACCTCCAAGGTCCCTTCCAACTCTGTTATCCGGTTAAAGCGCAGTCATGTGACCGTGGCACGTGTCTGCATTTGTGGCCATGGCAATTCCTAAAAAAGTGTCATGAGTAGCTCTGGGAAGGCCAATTGCAAGTTTGAGTGGTTGTTAAGGTGTTAAGAGAACTTAAGATACTAGCATGATGTTGTGGTTCCAGCTAATGAAACATTCCAAAGAACTTCCAGGCCTTTATTTTCCTAAAAATCTTTTATTGTTACAAAATGTCGGCACAGGCACAACGGAGGGATGCTAGGATCTAAGTTCTCTTCCTCTGAGCAGTTAAATTATCAGCATGTTCCCTCCCTAAATTAGCCGTCATATCTCACATTATCCAATTATTGTGAAGGTCAAATGTTTTCTTCCTCTTTCTTACCGGGCTTTACCCCCAACCCCCCTTCTGCTCTGTATTAACCCCATAATTACCAGACAATTCTACATATTGTCAAAAGCAAGAATATACAATATTTGCAGCGTTGACATCTGCAGGTTGAGAACTACCTGTAGCGCCAACACATTTGGGGAGCACCAGATTGAAGAAGAAAGCAGCTATTCCTCACTATCTGTGCAACAAATTGAGGGGCTTCCTTTGAGAATCCCGAGCAGAACATTTCCCAGCTCTCCTCCCCCAAGAGTCACCTCGAGGCAGCCCCTTCCCCCAACTCATGGCACCCACCTGGGAGAAGAGGAGATAGCCACACTCATCACATGGCAGCATGTCATCCACCAGCACGGTGGTCCAGGTGCCATCTTTGCATAGACGGACTTGGTAGGCCCCCTCCAGGCACATGGTCCGTGTGATCATTACCCTTTCCACCAACTCGGGCCGTTCTGCCAGCACGGCCAGGGCACTCAGGAACCTGAAAGAGACGGGCATCCACTGAAAAGTCCTGAATGGTGAGAGAAGAAACCCACCTGGCAGGAATTACTCGTGAGAATTCTCACATCCCATTAAGCAGGGTTTTTCCCCAGCCTTGGCTAAGACACGTGGACTTCAACTCCCAGAATTCTCTCGCCAGCCCTGGTCATGTGATTCCTCTTAAGGCCATTAAGTGGTCTCAAGGCAGTCTCTGGTGAAAGAGAACTTCCGCCTTGGGAAAAGCGAGGTACAGGTTAAATCTCAACGTACGACTATAATTGGGCCCCCAAATTTATGTTGCTAAGTGAGACATTTGCTGAGTGAGTTTTGCCCCATTTTACGACCTTTCTTTCCATAGTTGTTAAGTGGATCGTTGCAACTGTTTTAAGTTAGTAACACGGTTGTTAAAGGAGTCTGGTTTTCCCACTGCCTTTGCTTGTCAGAAGGTCACAAAAGATTTTGGTCAAGAATACATATATGTTTAGAGACAAATGATTAAAAAACATATAGATTTTCAGCCAGAATTATTTTTGCTAGGAAATTGTGGGAAATTATGAGAAAGAATGTGCATATTTGATATTACATGTATTAACTGCAGCAAGAATTGTACTCACTCAACATTGGGAAAATTCAGAATTACCAACGGAGGAAGACTTAATAAAAAAAATTCTAGATTGTACAGAAATGGACAGGTTGACATTGAAAATGAAAGAAGACTCAGTATACTTTAGAACATGGGATACTTTTTACCAATGGCTAGAAAAACCAGGTAGAGAGAAAGGAACTTAATATTATTAGTAAGTCAAATACTGGAATCCAGACAATATGTTGCTGATAAAATATTAAGAACTTGTGACTATAAAATATATATATGTAGGTCTTTGGTTATTCGGGTTTTCTCCCGCGTCAAATTGGAAGTGTCTTGGCGACGTTTCGACAAAGTCTCATTCGTCATCTTCAAGCTGGTGTTTTCAGCTTTGCGCTCCTAGAAGCACAAAGCCGAAAACACCAGCCTGAAGATGACGAATGAGACTTTGTCGAAACGTCGCCAAGACACTTCCAATTTGACGCGGAAGAAAACCCGAATAACCAAAGACCTACATACAAACACCCACGAATGTGAGGACCCACCCCACTTTGCATCTTAAGAAGACAGAACTCTTGGAATAATTCTTCCAACAGGAATCCTTTATTAAGAGAAAATGGTTGCAGGCATGCTAGACAGGACTTGGGGTTCAAGCTCTCCCATTCAAGGTTTTAAGGGGTTCCCCAGTAGTCCCACCCAATCAACCCCCCTTCCAGTGATAGTTTCAAGTATCACAATTCCATCCCCTTTCTTCTTCCGTCTGGATGGAGACTTCAGATAACTACATGAAAGGCAATTACTCTTCTTTGATATGTTAAAGCTTAGAGGCCACAATAAACACACATTCAGTCCTTTGAAGTGTGCTGAAGGAAGTGAGGGCCATAAAGCCCCTTTGCTCTCCCCCTTTTCTCCCTCTTATGGCAGAATCCAGAGAAGGCAGAATTGGGAGTTTCTATGTTTGATAATTAAAGATGAAATATAATTGGATTCTGACATCCGGCCCCTCTTAACAATAAGAGAGATCCACCTGAAAGAAAACACAAGTAAAAAATTTAGTTAGGCTTGTTAGGATACTCTGTGTGAAACTTCTTCAATAGCTTCGGGGCTCTGACGTGACGTTTATGGACCCACTCATTTTGTGAGGCAGGGAGGTGTTTCCAGGCAACTAGGTACTGAGTTGTTCCACGATATCTCCTAGAGTCAAGGATCTCTTTTATTTCGAAGTGTTGTTCCCCCTCCACCATGATTGGAGGTGGTGGGGGGGGGATTTTTGGCCGTAGAGGTGACTGATGCTCTCTTTTCAGCAAGCTGCAATGAAAAATTGGGTGTATTTGCCTGAGGTTTTTGGGTAATTCTAATTCTACTGTTACTGGATTTATGATCCTTTTAATTGGAAAAGGTCCTATATATTTTGGTCCAAGTTTTTTACAGGGCTGTAGGGACTTTAGGTATTTTGTAGATAAGTACACCATTTCTCCTATAATGAATGGTGTAGGCTCAACCCTTTTTTTATCGGCTTGTGCTTTGTATGCCCGCCTAGCTTCATCTAGTGATTTTCTGACTATTGGCCAGGTGTTTTGTAGGTTTTCCATCCATTCTTTCAGTGAAGGGATCGTTGGTTCTTTTGGGGTTAACTCTGGCATAGGGTTGAAACTTTGGCCGTTGGCTATTTGAAAAGGAGTGTAGCCTGTGCTGGAGTGGACTGCATTATTGTAGGCAACTTCTGCAAAAGGAAGTAAGTCCGTCCAATCACTCTGTTGGAAATTTAAAAAACATCTCAAATATTGCTCAAGTACCGACTGGCAGCGTTCCGCTTGTCCATCTGTCTGAGGGTGATGGCTAGATGTCAGTCCCTGAGTGGTCCCTAAGAGGGATAAAAATTCCTTCCAAAATGTAGACGTAAATTGCACTCCCCTATCAGAGATGATGCGTTGGGGTGCCCCGTGCAATCTGTAAATGTGCTGGATAAAAAGTTTTGCTAAGGCCTTTGCAGTGGGAATTTTTTGGCAAGGGATAAAGTGCACCTGTTTGGAAAATAGGTCCGTGACTGTCCAGATAACAGTATTCCCATTGCTTTCAGGCAATTCCACTATAAAATCCATGGCTATTTCCCTCCAGGGGGCTGAGGGACTTGCCACTGGTTGTAACAGCCCTGGCGATTTCCCTTGCAACCTCTTTGCTGATGCACAGGTTGGGCAGCTGGCAACATAACTTTCTATGTCCTTTTTTATTGATGGCCACCAAAATTGCCGTTTAATTAAGTGTAAAGTTTTTACAAATCCAAAATGCCCTGCTGATTTTGTGTCATGGCAAAGTTGCATGAAAGTTAGTCTTTGAGTTGTTGGTATATATAACTTTTCCCCTACCCAAGGCAATCCGTCTCTCATTGTGCACACATGTTTGTTTTTCTGGAACCAATCATCTGTTTCCAAACTTTTTCTGAATTCAATCCCAGTTTGGCTGTCCAGTTGTGGTTTTATTTTGGCTTGGGTTCTTGTGGTTACTGGCGCTGCCAGTTGTGACTCTGCCATTATTGGTCTAGAGTCTGTGGTTCGTGCGCTGTTATATTGGGGCATGCGAGATAGTGCATCTGCCAGGAAGTTCTTTCTTCCTGGTAAATGTTTGAGCTTAAATTGGAATTGGTGAAAATGCTGGGACCAGCGGGCTTGTTTGGGATTGAGTTTCCTGGGAGTTTTCAGGGCTTCTAAATTTTTGTGATCAGTCCATACCTGGAAGGGGATTTTGTTGCCTTCCAGGAACTGTCGCCACGTGAGTAATGCCCAACGTATCCCATAAGCCTCCTTCTCCCATACGGGCCAGCGCTGTTCTGTTTCCGTGAGTTTCTTAGATGTATATGCACAGGGTTGCAATACTGCATCATCATTTTCTTGTAATAGCACAGCCCCCACTGCCACATCACTTGCATCTGCCTGTATTATGAAGGGTTTGTCCATGTCTGGGTGCCTTAGTACTGGTTCGGCAGAAAAAAGTCTCTTTAGTCTCTCAAACGCTGCTTGGCACTCCATTGTCCATTTTAGTGGCTGGCTAGGTTTTACTGAGGATGTTCCCTTCGTTTTTAGTAAGTTAGTGAGGGGCAAGGCTATCTGTGCAAATGAGGGGATGAATTGGCGGTAAAAATTTGCAAAGCCCAGGAAACTTTGTAGTTGCTTTCTTGTGCGGGGTGGTGCCCAATTCTAATACTGCTTTGACCTTCTCTGGGTCCATTTCAATGCCCTGTGGGGATATGCGATAGCCTAGGTAGTCTATCCTTTCCTGGTGGAATTCGCATTTTGAGAGTTTGGCATATAGGTGAGCGGCTCGCAGCTTCTTTAAAACCGCTCTGACAAGTTTGACGTGTTCTTCTTTTGTTTCAGTAAAGATAAGAATGTCGTCCAAGTAAACAAGGACCCCCTTAAACAGGTGCTCCCTTAGAACGTCATTGATTAATTGCATAAAGACTGCAGGGCCCCCTTGTAATCCAAATGGCAAGACTTTGAATTGATAGCACCCCATGGGGCAGTTAAATGCAGTCTTCCATTCGTCCCCTTCCTTGATTCTCACTCGATAGTAAGCTTCCCTTAAGTCTAGTTTAGAAAAAATTTTCCCTTTCGATAGGTGTGACAGCATGTCTTTCATGAGGGGCAGCGGGTATAGGTTGCTTTCACTGATTGTATTCAGGGCCCTATAATCCACGCATAAACGTAAGGAGCCATCCTTCTTCTCTCTAAAAAGGACCGGGGCAGCCACTTTAGGCTTGGCTGGCTCAATGAAACCTCTCTCTAGGTTTTTTTTTTTATAAATCTTTCCATTTCCTCCTTCTCCTTTGGGCTCATGGAGTATAATCTGGGCTTCGGGAGTTTTGCCCCAGGCTTGAATTCAATGGTACAGTCTGTGGGTCGGTGGGGGGGAAGCTCATTCGCCCTCTCCTCACTGAAGACTTCAGCAAGGTCCCTATATTCCTCTGGTATTTCTGTTAATCTTTTTTCCTCTCCTATGGATGCTTTTTCTATTCTTGATTCTGGTAGCCTCCCTTGGGGTTTTAAGTCCATAGGGTCCCCCTTCGGGAATTTGATTTCTGTCGTCCTCCAATTTACCCAGGGGTTCCATTTTTTCAACCATTCCATCCCTAGAATCATTGGGCATTCCATACCTGGGGTCACCACAAACGTTAAGTCCTCTTCATGGTTGCCCAGGGAGAGATTTATTGGCAAAGTGGCTAGGGTAGCTGGCACCCCCCCTGCTATGGATCCATCTAGCTGGCCAAATGAGATTGGTTGTTCCAGTCTCCTGGATGGGATGCCCAGATTTGACAACGAAAACCTCAGAAAACAAATACACACACACACACACACAATTAATTTAAAAAAGGTCACAAAAGATGCAACTGTCATAAATACGAGCCAGTTGCCCAGCATCTGAATTTTGATCATGTGATCCTGGGGATGCTGCAATGGTCATAAGTGTGGGAAAGGATCCTGAATTACTTTTTCCAGTGATGTTGTAACTTTATAAACGGTCACTAAATGAACTGTTATACCGTATTTTTCTGTGTATAAGACGCTCTCTGTGTCGATCAGCTGTTCGGCACTGAGCTGGCAAATCCACCTGCTTGGCCGGCAGAAGATCTTGCCCCCTCCTGTTAGTGGCAAGCCCACAGGGGCTTGACACCTGCACAAGGCGGGTTACCATTATTTTTCCCTGTATAAGACCCACCTGATTTTTGAACAGGGTGTTTGCAGGAAAAAAACAGCATCTTATACACGGAAAAATACGTTAAGTCAAAGACTTTCTGGATTCTTCAGAGGAATACAAGTCTCATCAGCGACAGGAGAGGGCACCCTCTGTCCATAGTCTTTTCTTTTCTTTTTTAAGAGAGGAGTTTCAGCAGATGGCAGCACCGGACCGACCTTGAGTGGACTGGAAGGGTCAGAACCAGTTAGCCCCTGAATGGGAATCTTCCAGGAATATCAAGAAGGTGGGAGTTGATAAAGCCTTCCAGAAGAAGACAAGGACAAATCACAACCTGTGGCTGAGAACGTGGCACAGATTTGTCTGTGTGGTCATCAGCACTTGAGCTGGACTCAAAGGAGATCAGATTTTTATTAATTTTTTTATAGTCACAAGTTCTTAATATTTTATCCGCAACGTATTGTCTGGGTTCCAATATTTAACTTACTAATACTGCCATGACGTTTCTTGTTGGGCGTCCAGATGCCCCCTCCCCAATTGGGTTTGTGACGGACGCAAGGGTGGCATTGAAGAAGAAGAAGAAGTAACGTCCACCGAGGGACCCATCGGCTCTTGGTTCCTTACCAGCAGTTTCCCAGGAGTCCCTGCAGGATATCCGAGGGTCGGGGTGTCCGGAAAACTGACCACTTGACCGAGCGGTCTTTGAAGATGCTGCAGTTGATCTCATGAGGCCTCAGCCACTGCTTTACTCGCTGCTGGACGCTGTCTCCTTCAGGAAAGCCAACCGACTTAGGACCAGGAGGAAAGCTGTCATCTACAAAGTTCACCTTGTTCTGCAGGTACAAAGTTTGAGAGGTCATGGCAACTCCTGACGCAGATCGAGTTGTACGCAAATAAGAAGCTGAGATGTAGACTGACATTTGTGAGACAACCCCCCCATCCCCATTCTTCCCTTCCCCTAGAAAGAGTACAGAGAAGAGCAACAAGGATGATTAGGGGACTGGAGGCTAAAGCATATAAGGAACGGTTGCTGGAATTGGGTATGTCTAGTTTAATGAAGAGAAGGACGAGGGGGGACAGGATAGCATCATTCCAATATCTCAGGGGCTGCCCCAAAGAAGAGGGAGTCAAGCTATTCTTCAAAGCGCCTGAAGGCAGGCCGAGAAGCAATGGATGGAAACTAATCAAGGAGAGAAGCAACCTGGAACTAAGGAGAAACTTCCTGACAGTTTGAACAATTAACCAGTGGAACAACCTGTCTCCAGAAGCGGTGAATGCTCCAACACCGGAAGTTTTTAAGAAGAGACTGGACAGCCATTTGTCTGAAATGGTTTCCTGCCTGAGCAGGGGGTTGGACTAGATGCCTTCCAAGGTCCTTTCCAACTTTATTATTATTATTATTATTGTTGTTGTTGTTGTAAAATACTTCCATGAATTTTCATCAATTATTTTTTGCAGAGGCTTTGATCTGCTCCAGATGCCTTTATACCGTTTGCTCTCTGTGCTATTTTCCTGGGTATTAATTTTACTGCACTTTTATATCAAACGTTCTGATTTTCTAGAACACCCTTCTATGGGCTTTTTTATACTGAAACATAATTGACTTTTTTATTCACTTAGGACTTGTGATAAATGTGTCAGTGCTGCTGTGGTGGTTTCCACCGCACCCAACTCCTGCTTTTTTTTTGTGAGTACTGTTTTGATATTTATCTTACTGTTTTATTTTGCATTTTTGCACCAAACATACGTGTTGATTTACTGTTTATTTATTCACTGGTGATCATTCTATAACCTACTGTTTTAAACGGCAAATCGTACATTAATTGTAAACTGCTCAGAGAGCTCTTTTAATGAGAATTGCTGTAAATTAACGTTTGTTAAATTAAGTTTAAAAATGAGCAATCTTTTCAATGAATAATGACAGCTCTGGCCTATTACTGGGTGCTATTCTTATGGGAAGAGATGCAGAGAAAGTCACCTTTGATGATCAGGGGCCTGGAAATTAGATCTTTGGAGGAGAGACGCAAGAAAATTTGAGTACGTTTAGTCTTGAGAAAAGATCACCGAAAATAAGATTATGGTAACATTTTCCAGTACGTGAAAAATTAACCCATACAACAACCTCAAGACCGGTTCTCTCTCACCCAGCGTGCAGGACTCTGGTTGAGCTTAACAGTTGGAAGGGATCTTGGAGGTCTTCTAGTCCAACCCCCTGCTCAGGGGTCGCCCAGAATTCCTCAGCCAGGCATGCCTGGCTGAGGAATTCAGGGCGTTGAAGTCCACAAGTCATAAAAGGGCCAAGTTTGAAGATCCTGCCCTATACCATTTCAGACAAATGGTTCTCCAGTCTCTTCTTAAAAACCTCCAGTGTTGGACCACCCACAACTTCTGGAGGCAAGCCCTTCCACTGGTTTCATTGTTCTCACTGTCAAAAAATCTCTCCTTAGTTCTAGGTTGCTTCTCTCCTTGATTAGCTGGCTGAGAAATTCCGAGAGTTGAAATCCACAAGTCTTTTAAAATTGCCAAGGTTGGAGACCCATGGATTAGCAGGCCTCCAAGGTCTCTACCTGCCCTATGATTCTATAACTCTATGAACACGTGCTTAACCGCCCCATGAGGTGTCTAGGAAAAAAAAACACTGCATTGCAATAGCAAATGAGGAAAGTATAAAGGATCAACTTGAAAATGCCAACTCTGTCGTTCAGCTAGCAAGGAAAATGCCCCACACCAGGGCCACCCGCTCTTCCCTCTGAAGCTGGACAGACAGTATATATTTTTTCCGGAGACGTTATTTGATGTGGCTTCATTTGCCACCGGCAATTGGAGAAATAAAACAGCTCTTGATCATTAAAGCTGCTCTACGGTTAGTTATTAATAAGTCTGGGATCAAGCTTTTCCCAAAGCAGCCAGAGGCTGGCAGGCAGGCAGGCTGAAAAGCTAGGTCTGGCAGAAAGAAGGACGGAGACATGAAACGTCTTATCAAGTGGAACTTGGGGTCCTTTATTTGCAGTCCCCAAAGCACGGTGGGTCTGAAACAAAAGATGCGGGCGACTTTTTTTCAGCCAGGCATTCGGCCTCATACTTTTTGGGACCCTGCAGGGTGGGTGCTGGTGGTCGTGGTGGGACCATATATTGGAAATGTAAAGGGAAATGCAAAATGCCTATGGAGATTCATCCATAGTCATGGTTGTCCCAAAAGTGTTTTTTTTTTTTTTTCAAAAGGAAAGTGGACTTTATTTTTCCTAACAAAGGAAGAACAAAGTCCAGCTGGCTTTTGAAAAAGGGGTAAATGGATATGATATTTTGGGACCTTTTCTTGTCTCTTTTTGAAGGAGGCTACGGCTGAAGGCAAATTATGCTTCTTAGGAAAGCTATCAAAACAATAAAAAAAAAAGATCTGTCTTCTATGTTACGGTTTAGGATATCCCATGAAGGCGATCCAACCGGTCAGTCCTAGAGATCAATCCTGACTGGTCTTTAGAAGGCCAGATCCTGAAGTTGAAACTCAAGTACTTTGGCCACCTAATGAGAAGGAAGGACTCACTGGAGAAGAGCCTGATGCTGGGAAAGGTGGAGGGCAAGAGAAGAAGGGGACGACAGAGAATGAGGTGGCTGGATGGAGTCACTGAAGCAGGAGGCGTGAGCTTCAATGGACTCCAGAAGATGGTAGAGGACAGGAAGGCCTGGAGGAACGTTGTCCATGGAATCGCGATGGGTTGGATACGACTTTGCAACTAACAACAACAATGAAGGTCTTAGGCATCCATTTTGCTCTTTAAACTTCTCCCCGCAAGCCTCAATCCTTCCCCAAAACTGGTCCCTCAATGGAGAGCACTGTAGGCGGGATGCAAAGAGGGTGCCACACCCATAGCAACTGCAGTTGGTTGGACTTCAACTCCCACAATTCCCCAGCCAATTTTAAAACCTGTAATCCACCAATCAGCTGAAAGAGGAAACCAATTTTTCACATGCAGTAGGAAAAACGCAAACCATCTCCTTTGTGGTTGATAACCTTCAATGATGGGAAATGCAGAAGTTGGTAATCCAAACCAGTTCATGAAATCAATTGGGCCACCCCTCGCTGAGTGATCAAGACCTGTTCTGGATAGCGAAGGGCCACAGTTCAGTCCCTGGCTCTTCCTATGAAAGGGATCTTTCTATGCTGGAGAGCCTAGGGGATTGGGTATGTGGTGGAATGAGGTCTGGATTCCCAAGAGGGAGGGGCTGCCTTCCGGAGGTCAAAGAGATGGTGAAGATGATATAGTTTGGTGGGAGAAGGAGCGTTAAGAAGGCTCCCAGCGATTCTCAGAGGATCTCTTTTGTGCTGCCAACAGTTGCTTTAGTTTGGCAAGATTTCTGTCTATAGATGAAGCTCCATAAAGTAAGGTTAAGGTTTCCCTGTCCAGCCGTGTCTGACTCTAGAGCCCGAGGCTCATCTCCGTTTCTTAGCCAAGGGAGCCAGCACAGTCATGTGGCAGTATGACTATATGCCAAAGGTGCACAGAACGCTGTTACTTCCCACTGAAGTGGTACCTATTTATCTACTCACGTTTGCATGCTTTACAATTCTAGGGGGCAGGAGCTACAGCAAGGAACAGGAGCTCACACACTTGGGCAGCGCTCAGCTCTCAAACCCGGGTTGCCAACTTTCCAGGTGTCTTTAACTACTGAGCCATTGCACCTCTTTAAAGGAAAATACTCAGGAGTAATTCTATGTGGTGCCAGGACAGGTAAGCAAGCCACAGGGGTGCACATGTAGGGGAACAATACCGATGTGCACTGGGTGCAACTGCTGACAAACGAGAGGTACAGATGTCAACGCACCTCTTGACAGAAAGAGACAATGTTCTCCCAGAGGGCTTTGGCCTCCCCCTCGTCCGTCTGCCGTCGCTTCTCCACGTGCATGCTCTCGCGCCGCCGAAGCGGCTTGATGCCCTTGCGCTGCGCCATGTAGACTTGAGGCGTGTGGCAGGCGAGGCAGTGTTTGACCTTGAGCTCATTGAGGAGTGTGCAAGCAGGGCACACCCACTGGCTGGCTTGCTCAGGGGTGACCGGGGGCTGCAACGGGAAGAGACGGGCTACTTTGCGGGCAGAAGGAGCTCTGGTGCCACAAGCCACACAAGTGCCTTTCTCCGAAGCACACTCGGGGCATTTGGCAGCCGGCTCCATCTGCCAGTTATGCTCCTGGAAGCCATGCACTTTGGAGGAGCCACAGGCTTTGCACTTCTGGGACGCGGTAGGGTTCTTCAAGGTGCACTTGGAACAGGACCAGGTAGTGAAGTCGGGGCTGGAGGGCCCACAGGGTGTAAAACGAACGGAGTCCCCCGTCAGATCAATAGTGTCACTGCCTTTCTGGCTGCTGCAAGCCTCGCAGGCCTCACTCCCCGAGGTGTTGAGCAGGGAACAGGCGCTGCACTGCCAGGGTGGCAAGCTCACGTCCATCTCTTCCTCCAGCACGCTCAGCCGCTTGGTCGCCATCATCTCCTGGAAGCGAACGGCCTTCTGCACGGGGGTTGGCGGAGAGGCCGGTTGGGAAGCTTCAGGGGCCGGGGGCTGGAGCTGGGGTGGCACCTCTCGGCGGCTACGGGGAACGGGGTTGTTCTGGAGGCCGGGGGAGAAAAGGCTGAAGGCTGGCATCTTTTGGCTCTCTTCCTCCGCAAGGGCAGTGCCCTGATTGGCAGCTGGGTGGCCCTCTGGGGTGTCAGTGGCAGGAGCTATCTGGAAGCCGGCAGGTGTGATGATTTCGGGGACCACCAGTGCCTCTGGAGGGATCTTGGGCAGGGAGAGCTTGCGAGGGCCCCCGCAGGCTGAGCAGGAATTGGCAACGGGTGTGTTATGGAGGGTGCAGCGTTGGCAGGCCCAGCCCTCCTCCAGCAGTGCCTCTTCGGGGCTCTTCCCCCCCGAATCCTCCCCGGGGCTCTCCATCTGTGGCATGTCCTCCTTGCAACTGGCTTTGGGTTCTACGAGGATGGTGGGCTTCGGCAGGACCCCATTGAGGATCGGCAGAGGGGAGCCTCCTGGCCCAGGTTCGGGGGTGAAGCCACACACCTCGCAGGCCTCTTTGCCCACAAAGTTCCGGAAGGTGCATCGGGCGCAGGCCCACTTCTGCTCCTCCACACTCAGGCGCAAGATGTGATTGAGGTCGGGCTTCTGGCGGGGGGCCTCGCAGATGGAGCATTGGCGCTGTCCCACGGGGTTCAGGAAAGTACAACGGGTGCAGGACCATTCCCGCACAGTGGCCATAGAACCAGAAGAGTGGGTGTGGCTGAAAGAGAAGAAGAAGGAGGAGACGGCCGTTAGAGGACACTGCGAAAAGGATCCCACGAAAGAGGAGAGAGGCATTCATAATCCTCACAACTTATTCTAAAGTTGGGGTACCTGCGGCCCTCAAGATAGTTCTGGACTCCCAGCAACTCCAGCCAGTTAGCAATGAGGGGGTGAAAGTTACGTGGCATTTCAGGGTGTCTCCCAGTTTTCCCATCCAACTTACGAGTTGAGATCTATAGAGGTTTGTACTATGGGGGTCCTTGGTGATCTCTGAGGTTGGTGCTCTGTGGATGTTACCTAGTTGGGTAATGAAATGTCTGCAAGTAAACCATCAAGCTCAGAGAGCACCAAAGACCCCATATGCTGAGATCTAGCAAATCTGACCTGTGCTGATGACATTTCTGGAAACATCCACAAATGAAAGATCCTCCTGTTTACAAAAGTTTCTTAGAGTAATCCCAAGCCATCCTCCTCACAGAAGTTATTTAGCACCATATAAACATCTGCAGTCCTTCATGCACACCTTCATGCAAACCTTGTAATGCACATCAGTTATTCTTTTGAAGAAAGAAGCAAGCTAGATAGGGGCAGTAAGGTCTTTTCTACAACCCACTAGGAGGTTTGGGAAGGAAGGAAATCCGTGATTCCTCTCAGTGGCTCTGTATCCACTAGCTATCCCAGATTTCTTGAAACCTGGGTTCCTGCAAATACATTAGGCTACACTTACCAGAAAGTTTAATCAGAAGTAATGGAGAACAGCAGCACATAGTAGTGGTGGTCTAGACCTTAGAAGCAGCAGCTGAGCTGGGGAAGATGGATGTAGGGCAGGGGTCTTCAAACTTGGCCCTTTTATGACTTGTGGACTTCAACTCTGGCTGACTGAGGAATTCTGGGAGTTGAAGTCCACAAGTCATAAAAGGGCCCAGTTTGAAGACCCCTGATGTACGGTGTGTTCTCCAAGGCAGACTTGTGCATCTGTCTCAAGGCTCATAACACAACAGGAGGAGGAGCCAGCTTGTCTTAGGATATGAAGTTGTGGATTAGCAAATCTACACCGTGTCTTTTGGGGAACAACTGGCATCAGCTGTATGGCCTATTGCAGATGGCTTTCCAGGGAAAAGACTCCTGCAAGGAAGCAGGGAAAGGATAATCTGGAATGACAACATGAAGAACACCGTTTTCTTCAGGCATGGTCGCTCAAAACCATTCCACTTTCAGTAGGAGTCTGAAGGTCTTGCAAGGACATCCAGCTAGCAAGTTCACACCCTCTCGCCTAGGGGTAGGCAACCTTGCCTCTTTTATGACTTGTGGACTTCAGCTCCCAGAATTCCTGAGTCAGCATGGCTGGTCCAGGAATTCTGAGTATTGAAGTCCACACGTCATAAAAGGGCCCCTGCTAGCCAGAAGGTCCCATTGGAAAGAGCTCACCTAATCTGCTCCTCCCATCATCCTAAATCCCACTCAGATTGCTCCTGCCTATGTTGTTCTCCTTATCTCCCCAACCTTAAAGAAATGAAGCCTTCGGAAACTACTGTTCATAATATTTAAAGATCAAAGGCAGACTGCAGCTCCTCAGAATGCAAAGCAGATTATTCCACACTCAGCTATGGCCGCTGCTCAACACATGTCTTTGCCAGAGGGAGCTCCTTGGGGGGAGGGGGGAGGAATCTGCTATTTATACTCATAGGCTGCACGTGACATGACATGACATGCCAAGGAAGGATGGAAGAGCTGCAGACATATGCCTTTTTCCAGGAAAGACATCCAGAATTAGCACCTCTGGAATCAGAGGAAATAGCTCTCTAGTCCTTGATGGTGGTCAACTATGGTCCCCAGATTCCACCCTGAGGCTTTTCAAGGGAATCTGCCTGATCAGTGCAAATCCAGGAAGATATTAAACAAACTCCAACCAGCAGAGTCCTTTTATTATTCCTCAGGAGTTAATTGTCGCTCCAGATTGTGCTTAAATTATTCAACCTTGGGTTTCTTATTCAGACTTTGCTTTCTGGAATGCCTGTGCAAGGCCACAAACACCACTGGCCCAGCACACAGATATAGCTAGAAACAGCACTCAAGACCTGCTCACTATTGTTAATCTTCAGAGTGTTAGGACCTGTAAGTGCTAAATCTGGTGAGGCAACAACCTGCAGTTCTGAGGCTTAGAGAGGACATTTATCTGAGCACATCAAAAGCACCAAGCCAGCCAGCAGCTATAGACAACTTGGACAGAGAAGAGGAAGAAGTCTAGAGTTTAAATTCTGCAGCATACAGATTATGACTTTTTAAAAACTTTAAGACTTTGGGGGAAAAGTGCAGAGAGGAGCAACTCCTGCTTAAGCAGGGGGCTGGACCAGAAGATCTCCAAGGTTCTATTCTATTCTATTCTATTCTATTCTATTCTATTCTATTCTATTCTATTCTATTCTATTCTATTCTATTCCATTCCATTCCCCATTGCATCTATTCTATTATTCTATTCTATTCTATTCTATTCTATTCTATTCTATTCTATTCTATTCTATTCTATTCTATTCTATTCTATTCTATTCCTACTCCACTCTATTCTATTCTATTCTATTCTATTCTATTCTATTCTATTCTATTCTATTCTATTCCATTCCCCATTGCATCTATTCTATTCTATTCTATTCTATTCTATTCTATTCTATTCTATTCTATTCCTACTCCACTCCATTATTTCTATTCTATTCTATTCTGTTCTTTCTATTTCTTTCTATTCTATTTCTACTCCACTCCGTTATTTCTATTCTATTCTATTCTATTCTATTCTATTCTATTCTATTCTATTCTATTCTATTCTATTCTATTCTATTCTATTCTATTCTCCATTGCATCTATTTTAATTCTAATTCTATTCTACTCTATTCTTCTTAATTTTCTATTTATTAAACTTTCAAAAAGCAAATTATTTCTGCCTAGGTGATGACATGCTTCTTTGCAATAAAGAGTGCAATCTAGTCAAGTGCCTCTGGAAGTCTATTTGTGAAGAGGTATCTGGAGACTGGAACTTAGGGGAATGTGGACAGGTGAGGACCAAGGCGATAAATGGGTTCTCACACATCTCAGCGCAAGTGGGAAAGTGGGTGCTAAAGTCAGAAGCAGGTTGTGGCCCTTGAGTGTGAGACTAACGCATGAGCCTTTGCAAACAATACTGAAACGCATTTTGAGAATCGCCAATTTAACCGTTTTAGATAAATTTTCTCCCGACATTTCCAAATGGTGTTTATAAAATATGTACAATCGCCCAATGCATTGATTTGTTTTTAAAAGGAAAATTACCTAGCAGATTAAGCCACCATAAAAGGAAAGAATGACACCTAATTTCCATTTGTGCTCCCAATGAAAGATGGCAACCTATAAAACTCTACAGTTATTTCTGCCTGCGTGTAGGAGGGAGAGAAGTAAATAAAATAAAATGTTCAGAAAAGAAACAAACTCCATCGCCATCTCCGTCACCCCAGCAATTTGAGAAAATTATGGGGGGGTTGTAATTAACTTTCTAACACAGACCTGGGCATTTCATCCTGCCCTTTTGGCCGTCCCTGTCCAGCACACGTGAGGTCAATCGGAAATTAGAAATCAAATATAAATTAGCATGTGCCATGCATGCAATACAACGGCGTTGCTTTCATCATTTTGAAAGCAACTATTTTTTTCCCCCTCAATTTACGTGTACGTGTGTTTGTGTGTGTGTGCCTATGCAGCTTCACAGCAATGTGTTTTGGTCCTCCACAACTGTCCCAGTTTCTTGTGTGGCCCCTTGGGAAAATGCATTGCCCACCTCAATCTAATTCTAATGGCTTGATTTTGCTGGGCAGAAATTATCCCAGGGGCTACCAGCTGGTTTTCAGGTCTAAGACAAGACAAGAATTCAGTCTCCTGGTGATTGGCCCAAAGTCACCCAGCTGACTTTCATGCCCAAGGCAGGACTAGAATTCACTATCTCCTGGTTTCTAGACTGGTGCCTTCACCATAAGACCAAACTGAACCCTTTTTTCTTGTCTCCCCTCTCTGCTGTTTCCTACTGGACCTCTTCTCTCTATCTTCTCATCTGCAGTTGCTCAATTACTTTCAAACCCCACGATGCTAGTGCCCTCGTTACAAGGCATTGGTGCCTGCCAGACGCAACCTCTCTGACTTACATCGGAGAAGGAATGGGAAGGGGGAATCTTCTGTCTACCCACACTCCAATCTGCCTTAGTCCTGGAAGGTCTTCTTCTACCAGGAACCCAGCTAAAGTATGGCCAAGCAACCAAAGATATCCACAGGCAACTAGCCATTATAAATAGGTCAGATCATAAGCCTAATGAACCAACCTCTTCCCAGATCTTTCTATTGGTGATCAGCAATTTTCCCACTTCTCCTTATTAGATCAACCTTCCTTGATTCTGCTTGATGTCAGCCGTAATTAGCAAGGGACAACAGACATCAAACAGCCGGCTGATGAAAGCCTAATATTCTGCACCATTAGCTTTGTAACCACGAAGAGGAGGAGAGGCTGTTTTCAAAACTGGCAAATGTGATGGGCTCAAAATTAGGCAGGCCAACAACCTCAGTCTCACAACTTCTCTGATGTTTATCCCATGACCTGATGTTTCATTATCCAGCTTATTAGGAGTTCTCCAAAATGTTATCATGGATATTTGCAGGGCTGTGGCGGTATAACAACCCAGAGAGCGAGCTATGGATCATATTAGACTCTAGCTTAACGAGATCCGAGCCATGCATTTACCAGATTAACCTTTTCTAACTTGAGGTTTTCCCCAATAAATCGTTGACCAGGATGTTTAACGGAATTCCCAGGGCTGGAGCCATAACACAACTCTGGAGAGTTTTATGTGAAAAATAAAAAACAAAACATAAAAGCCTACACTAAATGAACTATTTCTTTTCAACCCAATGTCCTTTTGTCTATCTGATTTGCCAAGAGACAACAATTGGAATAACGCAGGAGTCTCCACAACTTGGCAACTTCAA